GAAGCCGATTTTGGAGGACTAGCTTCCACTGACTACAAATCTGGTTTCTCATGTTCTTCACGCCCTGTCCTCTTTCTAATCAAATCGAACAGTGGTCTTTCCAGATACCATTCATCACCTTCCGCCGTCGTTTCTCGCCGAGGCCAAGGATGTAGCAAACCATCTCTGATCTTCAGTCAACTAGTTGGTTTAACGTTTCTTCCCTCACCAGTGTTCTACAGTTGTAAATGCAAACGGCGAGGAAATCCGGGTAGGTTTTTCAGATGGCGGCCTTTCACCTAGGATTTTTAGCAGACCCTCGTCGATCGATACCGACCACCATTGTGGAATGGCTCGAGACTCACGCAACGTATTGAGACCTATTTACTCGTGTTGTGATAGCGCATAAAGTTTTGCCACCCGCTAGTAGGGCTGGCAGTGACCTTGGAAATTTCGTACAGACGGGTGCTCCAGTTCCGTTCGGTTTTTTATCGAAGTGTTCTCTTCAAGCCTTCGACGAAGCGATGTCTAGCCGCAAGGCAGTGGCGACATTGGCAGGCTTCCTTATTCAAGGGAGCGAGTCACTTTCGCTTTGAGTTGAAACAGTCGTTGGGCACTGTGACTTTTCCTCTGAGGATCGAACTCGTCGACCTGCAACGCAGCCGCGCCCTGATAATCTTACCGTTGCCTGTCCCGACCGCTTATTTGTCGCAGCTGACCTCAATATCTGGAGTCCGTTCTTTTATCCGTAAGCCGGAAAAGCGCTAGGTAGCCAGCAGCTTGGCACACTGGTCCGATGATTATACAATCAAGAAATTAAATTTATTTTATCAAAATTTTGAAAAATACATTTTCATTATGCAAGCGATTACATTATTTTTGAAATGTCATAAACAGGAGAACAATGCATATAGGATCTATTTACGTAAATTTCTTCACCAAAAACTCACGTTTTGCGCTAACCTCCGCCAGTCTTAAAAGTTATAATTTTCGATCAAGATTGGTCGGAACGGTTAGTATGCGATAACGAATTGTGTGTATAAATAATTCTTCTGTGCGTTATTCTTCCAATTCCAATAAATTAGACTAACTTTGACCCATTTATTCTGAAAACTTTAAATGCTTCGTTAAGTTAATCGAATGTTGAAGTTAACAACAAGCAGGAACGAAAGGATGGCGTGTGTATCCAAAATGGGACTGTAATGTCTGTATCATGACGTTAGATTGCTTACGTTCACTCATACTGAGCAAAATCCAGCAGACAGCTAGTGTGCTTCAATGTGTGCCTGCTTACTTTTCTAGAGGATGGGTGCTGAATTCAGTGAAGGGTTGTTCAACACCCAGGACTTTGTCTACATCGCATTTAACTAATAAAGAATCACGTTTAATGAAATATATATTCGTCAGTAGTTCAGTAATCTGAGTCCTGTTAAGAATCAAGAAGTTGGTCCGCAGGGCTTTATAAGAAGTATAAAAGCGTGAGCGTCCTACCAGCGATATTCCGTTTGATATGTCGTAATCGCATCGCCAGCTACACCTGACTGATATTTTCCTACTGTGCCTCAAACTGACTCATAAGCGCCAATGCATAACTAAATGTAGGAATCACCCCGGACAGGTGAACAACCTGGCGAAACTCGACAATAAATCGTTTTGTCCAGGGAATTTGCCTGTAAAGACAAAAAGACATGGTTTCGCATTACAACTCACAATTTCTCATTCTGAATTTGACGCGCAAACTCTGGTCTATTTCGCAACTCGGTCGCCTTCCCTCCCAGTGAGAATTGCAAGATATAAGACGTAGAAACAACCCAATGCAGTTTCGTTTACGAAACCTTTCTTCTTTTATAACGCGTGTCTTTTGCCTAAATCACTGCTCCTTTCTTACTGTCATCGTTAACGATTGAATTTCATGCTGCCTGAAATCACCAAAGATGTCACGTAAACACTAACGCCAGTTTTCAGTCATTTTTAGGAAGTAATCTGACCACTCCGTTGTTTACACAGTACAGCTGGAAGGGCGATGATCGTCACTGCCAGTTGATCACCACTGACGGATCGGTACCATTTGCCTCGTCACTTTCAGCAAATGCGTACGTTGGTTGGTCGCGCACCGACAAATGCGTCGTTGTCACTGCAGGGAACCTGTGCGCTGCGTTAGTGGTGGGCGCGAGTTCGACTAAACACCGTCTGGTTTTCGGCCAGGGCCAGCCCAGACCTTCGGCGATGTTCGACAGCACACAGGGGGTCCTTGACCTCTACAGCTAATAGGACGGAGAACATAAACGCCCGTAACCTGATTTGCCACCAAACGTCGCTGCTCGTTGCTAGCACAATGGGGATGGCGCGCGGAAGTCAGCCGGCCATAAAATTCAATCAATTACTAATTGCAGCAGAAACCACCATAATGACAGAACGGAGCGGAATTTCCCGCTGGCCTTCGCTGCGCCTGCCAGCGAAGTTTTCGGTAAACGGCTGGGCCGAGGGTCAGCCGACTGACCAATATTGGAATGACGTTTCGGTGGTCAGTTTCCCTTGCGATCCCTCCGAAGCGGGTCACGTAACGTAATGGCGTCGCACAACTGATCGGACATTAAATGCTGCCGCAGGCCACATCACTGGCGGCTGAAATGTTATAGTTGTTTCCTTTTTTTCCGAATTGCAGAAAAGTCGAGAAAAACGCAATAGCGATTACTTTGAGTTATGCTTTAAATACGTTATTCATTTATCAATATAGAGAAATCTTTAATGGAGGTGGAAAATATAAGCAAAAACGGTGCATGGTATTTTTTTCTGCTCTCAGTTTTTCTAATCTGTTTAAAATAAAACTAATGCATGAGCTCTTCGTACAGCAGCGGAAGATGGCATTATGTTACAGCAAGTCAAAAACGGTATAACAATACTTTTAATCAACATAATGCAAAGATTCTGACGTTTCCAACCAACTTCGGTCTGTCTTTCTTTGAAGAGAAAACTATGCAACCTTGACAGTCAGGTGGCCCGAATAAACTTGCTAAACGGGGAAACCAACCGAAGAAGGAAAGCGACATGATTCAACCTTAATTGTATTAAAACGTCATTACTCTACAATGGGCAGTTCATGTGGAAGGGAGAGAAAGAACTGTTCTATTCAACCGCCCTATCCGCCATGATCTACGGCGCTGAATGCTGGTCTGCTGCTGAATCCGGGGGAACAACTGGTCACGCAAGGAGCGATAGAGCGTAAACTGTGCAAGGTGCCCTCCAAAGTCACGTTCTGAGCGGACAAATTCGATAGCGGACTGGATTAACAGGCCTAATTTTGTAAACTGTAAACTGTGTTTCGCTGAACGACTAACGTCTAGTCGGTAGTCGAAAGACGCAACAATGCGATGATCAAATTAATTGGTCAGCGGTAGAGGCAGAAAGCCGTAAATAGATAATGTTGTACAAATGTTAACTTGCGTTCATGGCGCGCCCATATCGAGGACAACTCGGAAAACGGATGATCAGGATATCTGAAACAGCGCATCTTTTCCGAAACGATGGGTATGCGTTAAAGCATTGCTTCATCTACTGTTGAGTACTCATGGCAAGAAGTTTAAAAGTTGTCCATAGCAGCGACTTACTGGCTCTCTGAGCAAGTGGATGCCCGTGCGAACCCTTTAAAAGGGGCTCAGTCTGTATTTTGAAAATGACGCTTTTAAGAGGCATGACAGAGATGTTACAAGAAATGCTTCACCATCTTGAAGTGGAACTCGAACACGCCATAGATTGCGAAAGTTGATGCATATTAAAAGAGTAGGTTAACAGGCAAACATTTTAATCGAGCAAAACGAAAATGATTATTGTGGCCCTTCCAACAGGTGTTAACGCTTCTTTGTTCGCAAACGTAATTAACATCCTCATGCAACCTATGGTCGGAGATAACAATCCCTCAAAAATAATGCACGATTTATCTTGGAAATGGATGTTAATGTTTTCACAGTGTGCTAACTGGATTCTGAGAAACGTTATTTCTACTGATGTCTTCCATTGTATTGGAGCACGTGGTACTTATCACCAGTTTAGTAGTCGTTCATTTAAAGTGGAGTGGTGGGAAGTGGTCTTCAGGTCAGACATCATAAATCTGGGTTACTCTGCCAACTTTTCATGACGATAACATGACAACACCAGCTAGTGACTCATAAGGCTACTTCCAGAGCGCTGCAATAATATAATAAAGTATGAACATATATATAGCGTAGATCTCTGTACGCCCGAAGGTTATCAATAAGTAATATGCCTCAGTCAATTTTTAGTTTTACTACTACCCTTTCCCGTTCCTTATTTAGAGTTGAGGAACAAAGCCCTACTCTCAAAATCTCATTCATTGCGAAATGAATAGATGCTGGTAAGACAAATTATCTCGTACCATTTTCGCTGGTTCTATACAACCGTGTACTTCGTCCTAGGTTTTCTTATGACATGTATTCATGGTCGTTCTGCATAGGCCTGGGTTTGGAGAACAAGTTTCGAATAGTATAATATATATATGGTTTTTCAGCATTGTAATTTAGGCTTTGGTGATGAGTTTGAGGTTTACGTTCATAAAAACGGGCGGTGACTGCCAACAAGCCTCCTAAATTTCGTAGCCATTCGATGAACAGCAGTCGTCTGCAGCACTAGATTTTGCACACTCGATCGATTTGCGTTCTGCATCCTCGATGACTCGCTTGCTTTCCATAATTTATGACTGTCAACATAAGAGGCTTAAGATTCTCCATTTCAGAAAGTAGTCTGATCTCCATATGTCTGTATTATATAACTGGCTTTATTTCGCTTCGATACTATGTGAGTGGATTCGAGGGGCCTTTGTCGCCGTGCTCGTATTTCCACCTTCTTTTCTATTGAAGAGTTTCGGCCGACAGCAAGCCATAATCTGTTGAAATAAATTATGGAGAAAATGTCTTTTCTAGTATCGTTCTTTCACTGTAACTTCGATGATCAAAAATTATGCCACTTTTTGCTAAAAGGGAAAATGGATCATCTGCTTCTTGGTGACTTAGATTACAGAAACATACCAGACTTTCGCCTAATGCAAGGTTAAGAAAACTTGGGAATGTTTCGGAATTAAATTCTGTCAAAATTTTGAAAATTCGCGCTGTGTCGAATGATGCGCAACCTCTTGAATGTAAAGTTCATCGAACTCACTTTGACAGTATCTATTCACAATTTACGGGCACCAAAAAAGTGTCAACTTCAAATTTAACCGATAACGTTTGGGACAGTTTGTTGGTTACCCTTCCATTACGGTATTCGTAAAAAATTATTCGTTCGTGACAAATTATTAATGACAATT